AAAAAAAGACAGGGAAAAAATCCTGTATAAAAAGAGAGAGGCATTTGTTTTGGGGTACTTTTATGTGATTTTATCACAACATTGGATTTCTCAAGGATAATAAATCATAGCAGGACATTTAGTGTAGTCATGCTCGCTACACCTGTGATCCATTGCCTTGTAGGAGAACTCGTTAATAACTCTGACAAGCTGTGTACTAGTTGGAGATGGATGGCTTAAAATTCCTCACTGCATCCTCAGGAGGTGGCCTTTCCAAATAACACCTACCTGGCCTCTTGACAGGGGCATTTCCTCAGTGGCAGGTCACGGAGAGCTGATGGCATCATCCCTGGATAACTGGTGGTGACAGGCAGAGGAGGCGCAGCCTTCCTAACAGGAGGGTATGCACCCCCAGCTCATTTTTAACTGTAATTTGAAGGTAGACTTACAATGCTCTTGAGTTTCAGGGTAATTTTTTTTTTTAGTGCAATTATTTGGACAAATGATTTGGACACGTGAGGGTTTGCCATTACCAAAAATATCCCCAGGTAGTTTGTTGAGCAAAAGCATTCTCTGCCCATAAACTATGTGTGTCAGAGCTGTCAGGAGGTGTAAAATGTGATGTAACCTTGCACAGCTTGATTTTTCGGCTGCACTGGCAGGTGGCACCTGAGTCCCAGAGCAAGATCCCACACTGGTGCAGCAGCTAGGAATCGGAGTATGGAGACGGCAGAGGTACAGAGCAGCATGTTAAAATAATACTGATTCATGGGGGATATATTATAGTAAGAAATACGCAGCCTTGACAAAGACGCGTGGCTAAAAGCGAGATCTAGTGCTTAGTGCTCGGTGTCCTGTCTGTCTGGAAGGGACTGTACTGCATCGGGGTGCTGCTGTGAGGGCTCCCAGATGGGGCTTTACTGGCAGCACTGGTTTCCGGCAGCCCTGGAGAGCTGGTGTTGCTGGCAGGGACAATGACGGCAGCGCTGGGCCCCGTGCCGTGCTCAGGGCTCTGTGCCAGGCTGTGCTACCCCCTTGCTGCACAAGCCTGGGTGGATTTGGAGTCCCTGCAGACATTTGTTCTTTAAAATCCCTTTCTTTCCTGGGGATATTTTTTAATCTGTAATATTCCAGCCAGTGCCCGTGGATATCCTGGCTTCAGTTTGCACGGATTTTTTTGTTCAACTTTCTAATGAGCCGAGGTAGGGCTTCAGTTTGCAGAACACAAAGTGCTCTTGTCTGGAGGGAGGGTGTAGCCTTTCCCAGGATCAGGCCCATCATTAGAGTTTCCTGCTGTCTGCAAGCTTTTGTTCCAGGAGACTGGGCTAATCCAAGGGATGGGGTGTTGTGTTCATGTCTCTCCCTCAGTCACTTTTCTGGACTTTTAACGAGTAGCCGCAGCAATAATTATGGCAAATCGTTTCTGTATAAACATCCTGCTGACAGCCTGTGTGTGTGTGAGTGCTGTCTCTGAGTCAGGAAGGCAGTCGATGAGCACTGGAATGGTTCATGGTGCTTGCATGTGGAGGAAGACAGTTGGAGACGCTGCTGCTCCCTTTGTCCAGGTGCAGGCTGCTTGACTGCTTTCATCATTGCACAACGCCCAGGCAGAGCTTTTGACAGTTTTTTACGTGATGTAATTCTGCTTCAAGGCCAGGTTGGATGGGACTTTGAGCAACCTGGACTAGTGGAAGGTGTCCTTGCCCATGACAGGGGAGTTGGAGCTAGGTGGTCTTTAAGGTCCCTTCCAACTCAAACCATTCCGTGATTCTACTTCATCTGTTCTTGCTAAATACCGTAGCTGTGGATTTGTGTCCTGTTTATTCAAGTTGTATTTCAATCTGTGGTACAGTTTGTCTTATTCCTTCCAAACTCCTCATTTTTGAGATGCTGAATTCTGTACCAAAACCCCTGGTGCCTGATGTGCTGTGGCAGGGGGGGCATTTGCGTGACGTTTGGCTTTCTGGGGACAGAGCTCCGGGTGGATGAACGACGATCTTGCCTTGACCGGTCTCTGCTTCTTCTCTCCCCAGTGTATGGGCACAACGTGAAGAGCAGCAATGACTTCATTGGGAGGATCGTGATCGGGCAGTACTCGACGGGTGCCCCCGAGTCCAACCACTGGCGCCGGATGCTGAACGCGCACCGGACGGCCGTGGAGCAGTGGCACAGCCTGCGGTCCCGGGAGGAGTGTGACCGCGTCTCTCCGGCGTCCCTGGAGGTAACATGAGGTGGGGGATGAACAGCAGCCAGACCAAGCAGGCGGACGAGTTAAAAAAAAATAAATAAAACCACTAACCGAAACACCCCACCTCACACCCCACACGCACACCGCAGCAGCTCCATTGGATTGAAGCAGCTGCCGGTGTCCAACCGGCCATGCTGGCCTCTGCGAACCATGTCCCACTGGGTCCTGGCCGTTCCCTGGAGGCCACTGATGGCCCGGCCATCCATCCCTCTCGCCGCTGGCAGCTGGCACCATCGGCATGGCTTGCGGTGGAGAGGGGAG